GCACTTAACACTTTAAAAATTTTTTTGCTAGTATAATGGGGGAGAAATGATTAAGTCCTTTGAGATAGGTTTAAAAACAAAAGCAAAATGTAACAAGCACCAAATGTTAATAGTGATTATTGCTGTGAACTATGATTTCAGAGGATAATTTGCAGTGTCTTTTAATATTTTTCTGTATGGTTTGAATTTTTATTATGCATCTATCATTTTAATGAAAATAGTAAGGCTCTCAAACACAAATAATTAAAAACCAGAAATCTAAAATCCATTCTGAAGCTCCACCACTTGTCCACATCATTACTGCTCCCTGTAATTTTGGTTGTGCAGTGACAATGCTCCGGTGTCACACTGAATGAGTGTGAATGCCAAGTCTCATTAGCACCCGGGCTGGGTTTGCTTTGAACCACCCACTAGATTTTTTTTTTTTTTCTCAGTCTCCCTCCTGACATAGAACATGGATGTTTAGGATTAAGTACAAAAGCTATTAGCCACAGAATAGAGCTTGCTATTTTTTAAAAAATATTTATTTATTTTTGTATATAGAAGAAGTAAAAGGACGGAACCGTCTGAATTTTTTGCAAAAAAAAAATCTTTCATTTCTTATATTTCATTTTAGCCTCAGTTAGTTTTCTCAGATATCTGGGCTGTTGGCTAACTGAACTGAACCTTCATCAGTGGGGTATAAAATGATAACTGGCCCTAAGAATCCAGGGGAAACTTCCTTTAAGACCTTTTGCCTTTGTGTATTTTTTTTTTTAAGTATGTTTTAGAATTGTCACTCTGATTCTGGAAAAAAAAAATGATACCTGTGACTTGTAAAAAAAATGTTAAACAGTTCTGGGGAAAAAGAAACAATTTTTATCACCTAGCAGTAGTATCTGTTTACGTAATTTTCTTGGTCCATTTCTAAAAGGCATTTAGATTGTTTCTGAATTTTTTGCTATTACAACAATACTGTGATGAAATCCCTATGATTACATATTTCCTATGTATTCAATAACCTTATAAAGCAGATGGAGCAACGTGGGATTTCTGGGTCACAGGTTATGTGCGTTTTATATTTTGATACATATTACCAGGTTCTTTTATAAAAAGACTTGACCAATTATACTTCTCTTCTTTATTTGGTTTGTTATGCTCTTGTCTTCTCTAAAACATTCTCTTTGAAGTTATTGACACAGCAGGCCAATATTTATTGACACCTACTATGTCAAGGTCTTCACCTGCAGTGTTTTGAAGCTCAGGATAAATAACTTGCTCAAGGTAATACAGTTAATAATTTACTGATCCAAGATCTGAATCCAGGTGTCATGGACTCCACCTTGAGCAGACAGCAGTGAGGTAGGAGTATGGAGTTTTATAAAGAATGGATTTATTGCAAACTGCAGAGTACTTTGGATCCCAGGTTATGGAAAATGGATTTTGTCCTTTCAGCATCAAGCAGCCACATGAAGGTTTCCGAGCAGGGGATGATGTGATAACAGCTGTGATCTAGATTCTAGGAAACTTATGTTGTCTTAGCTCTTGACATGGAGTTAGAAAGGCATTTTAAGCAGGCATTTCAATTGAGGTAATCTTGGGTGGGGTGGACATCAAAGAAAGGACACATTATTACTTTCATTCGCCTCCTTTGCTAGGAATGTAATGGTTGCCACTGCACCCAGAAGATAAAATATGACGATTTTTTTTAAAGAAAGAAAAATGGTCATGGCTGCTGAGTCTAAAATTAGATAGACCTGCAAGCTGTGTGTTGGTTAGCAGGTGTGGGTGTGTGATGGGAAAGCAGATATCAGTCTGTCCCTGAGCATGGCCTGTTGGCTTAGTTCCAAGATGAGCTCGAAATGGGTTTCCTGGAGAATCTGACTGTGCCTCGCTCCACGTCCCTGTACGTAGGCCTGGTTTGGCTTCCTACTGACATCTCTGCCATTGTGGCTCCTTCTTGGGCAAGAGCTACATCAGTCCTTCCCCCGTCTGTGTCATCACACAACTGCGTATTTCTAACATGCTTTCTTCTTTTATTAACTTCATTGGATATTTTTTTCCTGCCATTTTTGTGAAATGGAATTTACATCTTTTGGGGGAGATAGGTTGATGTGATGTTTTCTACTCATCTCACTTTTCAAGAACCCAGCTTGGCACTCTATGCCTCAGACAGTGCCAGCCATCAATTATGTATGTTTGTTCTGTGCTGGGCGCTGTTTTAAGTGCTTGATGGGGTGTGCGCATGTGTATGTGTGTGCGTGTCTGTCTGTCTACCCACAAACACCTGCAGGTATATATATATATATATTTATATATTATTTCATTTAACACTCAGCAACCTTTTGAGATTGGAAATATCCCCATTTTACAAACTGAGGCTTAGAGAAGTAGCTTGTGCAAGGTAAGGTGATCAGTAAGTGTCAGAAGCAGATTCAAACATGGGCAGTTTGGCTCCAGAATCTGTGCCCTTCCTGTCAGTAAGGAACTGTATTACCTCCTAACCAAGTAGGCTATCTAGTTCGTTAGTTGTTGTCCTTTTGGCTCTACCTTTTCCTGTGTATCTTTTTTTTTTTTTTCAAGTTGGGTTTTCTCATGGTTGCCAGTAGCAACGAGGGTCAGCATATTTTTTTGTCCCCATTTTGTGAGGGAATGAGATCTGAACTATACTTACATGCCCTTGTACAATTTACCTTACTTCTCTAAGCCTCAGTTTCCTCATCAGGATGATGAGGATAACATCCCTACCTCAGAGAGTTTTGTGACAATTAAATGAGGTAGTACATGCAGAGAGCTTCGAACAGTGCCTGCTCATAGTGGTCAAATGTTAATGGCTAGTATTATCACTTTTATTGTTATTATCATAATCTTAGAAATTCATGTGACTCGACTTTTTAGCATATTTTATTTTAATCTAGAAATGGCGTGTATAACTGTTTGCCATGATGCTGCAGGAAGACGTTCCATGTTGTGATTTCGAGTTCCCTCCGCACACATTCTCTGAGCACACATTCTCCAACATTCGAGCGTCATGGGGGGTGGAACCCTTCTCTTTTAGTTCCAGAGTGAGATTTAAGCGCTGGAGAGAATAGCATCCAAGGGTCAGTGCTAGCATTTGTCATGGACCGAGTCCCCCTGTGTTTTGGGTCCTCTTCTTGGTTCGTGCTGTGACTGCGGCTGTTGTGGACGCAGAGGTGTCGAGCATGGTGCTCTGAGGAACTGCCTGAGTGTCCAGTCAGAGATGCTGGCCTGGTGCACAGCTCCACCTTAGGACACTTGGACCAAATCAGGAAACAGAAAAGTGAGACTTGACCCTAAAAAAAAAAGTCAACTCGTGGGAATGTGCTTTATTATGTAGAGTAGGGCACAGGCATTTACATTG